TGGATGAATGCAGTCATCTTGAAAAATAGGAAGAAAATGTTTGTTGCTGTGACATGATATAGAAAGGACCAATTCGTACCCTCAGTTTTTATGTATTTCTTGCAGTAAAAAAGTTTGGAAAAAATGTCCCGGGCAAATGGAAACTAGTCTCAGGAATCTTGAAAACGGTGACACTTCCAGGAAATTCTTTGCTCAATTCCTGACCTATATAACACAGTTACATATTAAAATAGCCACAGAGATTGATACATGCTCCTTTCTGAAAAAATATTTCAATATTTTAATTTTTGGGAATTGTCATTTTTTATTTTGGGACGAATACCGTCATCTTGAAAAATAGGAAGAAAATGTTTGTTGCTGCATGGGACGTGATATGGAAAGGAGCAATATATTATTGTTTATCTCAGTTTTTTGTGTATATCTTGCAGGAAAAAGGTTTGGAAAAAATTCCCCGGGCAAATGGAAAATAGACTAAGGGATCTTGAAAACGGTGACACTTCCAGGAAATTCTTTGCTCAATTCCTGGCCCAGATAACTCAGTTACAAATTAGGCAACCCCAAAGGATGCTGCTATCTGAAAAATATTTCAATATTTCATTTTTTGGAAATTTGAATTTTCTATTTCTTGACCAATACCGTCATTTTGAAAAATAGGAGCAAAATGTTTGCTGCTGGGACATGATATAGAAAGGACCAATATACTATTTGTACCCTCAGTTTTCCTGTATTTCTTGCAGGATAAATGTTTGGAAATAAATGCCTCAGGCAAATGGGAAATAGCCTGAGGGATCTTAAAAACGATGACACTTGCAGGGAATTCTTTGCGCAATCCCTGGCCTATATAACACAGTTACGTATTAAACAAGCCACAAAGATTGATACATGCTCCTATCTGAAAAAATATTTCAAATATTTTAATTTGTGGGAATTGTCTTTTTTTTTTTTTTTTGGATGAATACCGTCATCTTGAAAAATAGGAAGAAAATGTTTGTTGCTGGGACATGATGTAGAAAGGACCAATATGTTATTCGTTATCTCAGTGTTTGTGTATTTGTTTCAGTAAAAAAGTTTGAAAAAAAAAATGTCCCAGGCAAATGGGAAATAGCCTGAGGTATCTTGAGAAGGATGACACCTGCAGAAAATTCTTTGCTCAATTCCTGACCCAGATAACTCAGTTACATATTGAAGAACCCCAAAAGATTGAAACATGCTCCTATCTGAAAAATATTTCAAAATTTCAATATTTTTTGGGACTTGTTATTTTCTATCTTTTGACCAATACCGTCATTTTGAAAAATCGGAGCAAAATGTTTTTGCTGGGACATGATATAGAAAGGGGTCAACATATTATTCTTTATCTCCGTTTTTTGTGTATTTCTTGCAGGAAAAAGGTTTGGAAAAAAATGCCCCAGGCAAATGGGAAATAGCCTGAGGGATCTTGAAAACGTTGAAACTTGCAGGAAATTCTGTGCTGAATATGTGATAATTCAGTTACATATTAAACAACCCCAAAAGATTGATACATTCTCCAATCTGAAAAATATTTCAATATTTCATATTTTTGGAATTGTTTTTTTTTCTTCACCTTTTGACCAATACCGTCATTATAAAAAAATAGGAACGAAATGTTTGTTGCTGCGACATGATGTGGAAAGGACCAATTTATTATTCGTACCCTCAGTTTTTATGTATTTCTTGCATGAAAAAGGTTTGGAAAAAAATGCCTCAGGCAAATGGGAAATAGCCTGAGGGATCTTGAAAACATTGAAACTTGCAGGAAATTCTGTGCTGAATTCCTGGTCCAGATAACTCAGTTACATATTAAACAACTCTAAAAGATTGATACATGCTGCTATCTGAAAAAATATTTCAATATTTCATTTTTTTGAAATTTGAATTTTCTATTTCTTGACCAATACCGTCATTTTGAAAAATAGGAGCAAAATGTTTGCTGCTGGGACATGATATGGAAGGGACCAATATACTATTCCTACCCTCAGTTTTTGTGTATTGCTTGCATGAAAAAGGTTTGGAAAAAAATGCCTCAGGCAAATGGGAAATAGCCTGAGGGATCTTAAAAACGGTGACATTTGCAGGAAATTCTTTGCAAAGTTCCTGGCCCTGATAACTCAGTTACATATTAAACATCCCCAAAAGATTGATACATTCTCCGATCTGAAAAATATTTCAATATTTTAATTTTTGGGAATTGTCATTTTTTACTTTTTGACCAATACCTTTATTTTGAAAAATGGGTGTAAAATGTTTGTTGCTTGGACATGATATAGAAAGGACCAATACGTTATTCCTACCCTCAGTTTTCGTGTATTTCTTGCAGGAAAAAAGTTTGGAAAGAAATGCTATGGGCAAATAGAAAAAAGTCTGAGGGATCTTGAAGACGGTGACACTTGCAAGGAATTCTTTGCGCAATCCCTGGCCTATATAACACAGTTACGTATTAAACAAGCCACAAAGATTGATACATGCTCCTATCTGAAAAAATATTTCAATATTTTAATTTGTGGGAATTGTCATTTTTTTTATTTTTGGACGAATACTGTCATCTTGAAAAATAGGAAGAAAATGTTTGTTGCTGGGACATGATATAGAAAGGACCAATATGTTATTCGTTATCTCAGTGTTTGTGTATTTGTTTCAGTAAAAAAGTTTGAAAAAAAAATGTCCCAGGCAAATGGGAAATAGCCTGAGGTATCTTGAAAAGGATGACACCTGCAGAAAATTCTTTGCTCAATTCCTGACCCAGATAACTCAGTTACATATTTAAGAACCCCAAAAGATTGAAACATGCTCCTATCTGAAAAATATTTCAAAATTTCAATATTTTTTGGGACTTGTTATTTTCTATCTTTTGACCAATACCGTCATTTTGAAAAATCGGAGCAAAATGTTTGTTGCTGGGACATGATATAGAAAGGATCAACATATTATTCTTTATCTCAGTTTTTGTGTATTTCTTGCAGGAAAAAGGTTTGGAAAAAAATGCCCCAGGCAAATGGGAAATAGCCTGAGGGATCTTGAAAACGTTGAAACTTGCAGGAAATTCTGTGCTGAATTCCTGCTCCGGATAATTCAGTTACATATTAAACAACCCCAAAAGATTGATACATTCTCCAATCTGAAAAATATTTCAATATTTTATATTTTTGGAATTGTTTTTTTTCTTCACCTTTTGACCAATACCGTCATTATGAAAAATAGGAACGAAATGTTTGTTGCTGCGACATGAAATGGGAAATAGCCTGAGGGATCTTTAAAACGGTGACACTTGCATGAAATTCTTTGCTCAATTCCTTGCCCAGATAATACAGTTACATTGAAAAAATTTTCAATATTTTAATTTGTAGGAATTGTTATTTTTTTACTTTTGGACGAATACCGTCATTTTGAAAAATAGGAACAAAATGTTTGTTGCTGAGACATGATATAGAAAGGACCAATTTATTATTCGTACCCTCAGTTTTTATGTATTTCTTGCAGTAAAAAGCTTGGAAGAAAATGTCCCGAGCAAATGGAACATAACCTGAGGGATCTTGAAAACGGTGATACTTGCAAGAAATTCTTTTCTCAATTCCTGGCCCAGATAACTCAGTTACGAGGTTTGTACAAAAAGTTCGACGATAATGACGTTTTTGTTAAAAATGGTTTTGTATACTTTTTTTGTATATGAAAATATTTCTTATGAAAAGCCAAGTCAGATAGATATAATTTTTATTGATGTAACTTCATCTTTTTGTAGAAATCGGGGTCTTTCAATGTCGCAGATAGTGCGCACGGAGCAGTGTGACGTAATTCAGCTAATTTCATTATATCGTCAAACATTTGGATTTTTAATACATGTTCATGGACACACGCTACATTTTCTTTATTATGTCACACTGCAAAGTGCTAGCAATAATCTTAAAGTATATATTATAATTCAAATTTTAAAATTCAAAACAATACACGAGCGTCATCAATAATTCCGACATGTATATAAACAAGTTGCACAGTCCAGTCTGATGTTGCACTATATTTATAAGGACGTCATGAATAGAAATATTCCGTATTAACCGTATTAAAAGATGATTTTCTGATCGGACGCTGCCCCGTTCGGACGGCCGACGTCGCTTTTTCTGTCGAGTAATGACACATTTGTTAGGGTTTTTGTGTAATATTTTCAATGTCTATATAGGAACCGATACTTTAGATAGCAAAAAATGATAACAGCCTCTTTATTTGTGTTACATATAATTTTTACTAAGGTTTGACTTGTTTTATATAAGATATAATCATTTTATTCCAAACACTTTATTTCAAACTTTGTGACATTTTAACCTTGGTTCATGCACACTATCTGCGACATTGAAAGACCTCAGCTTTTACAAAAATATAAAATTACATCAATAAAATAGATATCTATCTGACTTGGTTTTTCATTAGAAATATTTTGACATACAAAAAATGTACATGTATATAGAACCATTTATTTTAATTGTCCACGAACTTTTTGGACAACCCTCGTATATTTTTTGTGTTTCCCATAGCAAAACATGACCACTGCCATTATATTCAAATGGGAGAGGGGTATAATTTAGTAAGCCCATTGCTAAGAGTATCTCTAGTTTTTTATATAGCTGTATAATGTTTAGAATACTTGGAATTATTCTAAATTCTATTTTATTTCAAATGGTGGGTCAATCTTAATAAACAAAATTATCCTGAGGTTAGGGTGTCTTGTAGAGAGAGTCTGCAAAGCAGTAAAATTGTCAGCTTTATGTTTTTAGTTGAAAAATATTATATTCCACTCTTTATTGAAGATCACATTTCAGACATTCAGAAAAGGTAAGCTTGTACGAGACTTCATATGAAAAATAACATCTGGTAGAACGTTCGACCCGAAGAGAATATTCAGTGCATTTCTTGGTTCACATATTTACATTTCAGCTTCTCGAGAAATTATTGATTTTCTACATAAATATTCCCATCGATTGGGTTATTTTGAAGTGAATTTTCAACAAGCGATAAAACATTTGCGATCGATTCTTTTTTTTTTCAGTACAACCAAATGGAGGATAGACCATGGCGATAAAATACAAAGTAATGGTTTTACTTCTTCTGATAACAAGCCAGGACAACCGTAAGTTTAACATAAAGTATTTCAATCCATATGTATTCCTTGAGGAGTAAGTAAGAACTCTGATGTAGCCGAATTGGAGTTTAATTGCAAAATTTAGTTATTAATAAGTATAGACATATAAATAAGTTGGCATTAAAAGTATAGGTTGACTAGGCTAGCACTTACAGCTCAGAAGAAATACATGGTAAGTGTTAACATTTTGTATCATTGTATCAATGTACTGAGTTACCTACGAGGGCTGTTCAATAAATAATGTCCTGAACTCCATGACAAACAACATCGAAATCATGTGACATTAAGCTTGACTCTGTCGAGACTGTAGCTCTACTAGTAAGTACTTATAATAAAGGAAGAGAAAAGTAGTAGTTGGGACTAAAACTTCACAAAAGCAATAAATAGAATAATGATCCTTGATTAAGTCTCTTTTTGTGGCAAGATTGCAATAAGACTACAACTGTAGGGGTAGCTTTTCATAAAATTTTACAGAATTTTCAATTCAAATTACTATGACATCAATCAATAAAATCAAAAACACAAAACTGATAATAATGTATCTCAGTGTAGTCTACTTGCATGCCAAATTATATTATAATCAGACTGAAACTGTATTTGGATTAGCAGTTTGAAAGTATTTCACAGAAATTTCTATTTCTAGTAACCTTGGCAACATCGTTCATCGAAATCAAAAACCGATATCCAGAATTATGTATCTTAGTATAGTCTACTTGTGTGCCAAGTTATATTGAAATCAGACCAAAACTGTAGCAGGAGTAGCATTTTGAAAAATTGTTTACAGACGGACAGACAGACAGGCTGACGACGATGGACGCATGACTATGGCATAAGCTTTGACCAGTAGAGCTAAAAATGAACGAAAACTACAGCGTGTAAGTACATGTATATCTAAACCTTTTTTTTAAAAATCAGAAATTGTAGTTTTCCACCTTTCTGAAGTTCAAACAGATAATGAAACTTGAATCCATTGCTCTAAACCCTCAAAACAAATTAACAATAAGATGCACTTGACAAAAACAGCAAAGGTCTGAGAAGAGCAAAGAATTGCAAGAGCACAAAGACATTTTTATATGTCATATTCTTAAATATTAGTGGTCTTGTTCAAATTCTTATTTGGGGAGGTAGATCATTTTCAGGAGGAGTCTAGAAAGCAAAATTTTTGCCAACAAATCAAAAGGTTTATGAGAGGAAGGACCAGGAACCAGGGATCCACTACATTTGATTTCATGACAGCGTCCAAAACCACACGCCATGAAGAGTAAAGGAGTTTGGGGAACAAATAGAACGTCAATGTTTTGTCAAACCAACAATATTCGCTAGATCTTTCACCCTTCGACTAGTTTCATTTTCCAAACTTGAAAAAACACCTTTCATAAAGAAGAAACAAATCAGGAAGTCATAGGATCTGCCACAACAACTTTTAATTGATAGATCTTTGAGACATCCTTTTTTAAACAATGGTTTCAGTCGATATTAGCTCTTAATTATTTTATATTAATTTTTTTGTATTTTTTCAAGGAAAATGAAAAAATTATTTATATCTAAATAAGTTTCTTTACACATTTTATAAGATATTCATATGATGCAGTCATTTACAGCAAACTTTTAACTCGAAAACAACTTATTTGGATAAAAATAATTTTTTTTCATTTGCCTATAGCAATGATTTCAAAGTAAAGGGAGGGGGGGGGGCTACCTAAATATTCTGCGTCCTATATGTGTACCTTTCCAATGATAGAATCTTCCGTGCAAATCCAAAACGAGTGAGTGGACAAGTATCCAATAAAAGATTAATAATTAATGAGTTCAATGTACGAAGGCTAGCTGTCTCAATTCCTTTGGAAATTAGACAGAAGAACTGCTGGTCAGTTTATAGCAGATGTCATTTGATGACCAGCCTTAAAATTTATCTTCAAAATCAATTTGAAAAAATTAAGTTGTTTAAATAAAATTATGAAGAACTGTTTAATATGATGGACATTTGACGAGGTCTAACAATCTATGATGTAATATTTGTTATAATGTATGCCTACACCACAGGAAATGTATAAACAGCAAATACTTTTAAATTAAAGAAAGGAAAAATCATGGAAATCTTTGAATCAAGGTTGGCATGATTTTCTTGCACTCAAAACTGTTTAAGAGAATTGAAATTATTTGACGGGCGTATCATGATGATGTTCTTCTAAAGGAGATCAATACAGAAAAATGCCAAAACCACCCAGCCCTCTTGAATATTGAAACTATAAATATATATCTGTGGCTATCGGGATAGAATTCAACTTAAGTTTATATGTGCAATTAAAATAAATATCACTTAAACTAAGCAGATCGTTGTAGAAAATGTTAACGATTGGTTATTCCGTGTAACATTTAAGAGTGACAGATGAACTCGTCCATGGATGCTTTTGGCTAGCCTAAGTTTTAAAATGAATTTGATGAAAAGTAAACTAATTTGATATTGCATTACAAAATAATCTTATATCATGTCTTGAAATTTAACGATGTTATATCATCACTACGTAATAGCCACAAAACAGTTCAGGCGTTCCGAAATTCGCTTACGATTTGACGTTTTGGCGAGGCTCGTCAATGGAAGTTATTCTCCATACTTTAAAGATATTGTAATTCTTAGTCTACCGAAATTCTCAATTATTCCAGTATTGCTTTTTGAGCCATTTTCTATTCTTCCCAGGAAACGTTATATGGATATTTTTTCATTGTAAAAATTAATTCATTTCTTTGTAGAAAACAGATTTGTTGCGGCATCCAAAAGTTGTGATTGTGCGTGTAATTCCGCTGGCGTTACATACGATGATCTTGATCCAGTTACTCAGGAAAAAGTCAACAACATCACAAAAGAACTGAAGGTTGATACAAGAAATACTAGCTCTCATACCCGTACCCTCATATCTGCGTCAGACCCAAGACCATCAGCACAGGCCGCCGGCTTCATAGGGATAATAATACTTTCCATTGTGTTTGGATCACTCGTGTTATTAGATCTGACTCGTTTTTGTTTCAGATCAGAAATAAAGTATATTGACTGAGAGCATAAATGTGTTTAATCAATATATTTGAAAGTTCAGAAGAAATATTGATGTTACAAAGCACTTTTTATCCAGAAACAACTCAGCTTCTCTGAAGAAAAAAAAAAAAACAAGATAATTTCTCTCATTTTAGAAATCTTTTTAACATTGTTCACGGCTGAATTGCTTATATTGCTAGATACCTATTTTTAAGTTACAAACATTCGTAAAGCCTTCCACATAGTCTAAATTAGAATGGAACTTATTTGTGTAGGGAAAAAAGGCATTGTAAGCCAACCCCCACCTACCCCTTACACAAACATTGTAAGAAACTTCCTTTTTCTCTTTTATTTGTTTATTTATTTGATTATTAGCATTACATGTATTAGACTTTTTTAACAGATTTAAAATTTTAGCCTGTATGTTTTAAAGCATTCCTCCCTTTAAAAAGAAAATAGAAACTTAGCCCACCCAAACCAGAGAACCCCCTTGCAAAGAAAGAAGCATCGATTCTTTTCGCACAACAAATCTTGTGACTAAGATTAAAATTTGACAACTGTGTAATTTTTTATCCAATAAACATAGTACCTATATCATTATAGTGTTACATATCTATAAATACTGACAGCTTTAGACATCGATCTCGATGGAAACTACGTCATCTGTTTCGCCGACTCAACGTCAATTTTAGCCTGGTTTACCGTCTCTGTTTTATGCTTTGTACACTCCGAGAATGAGACAGGGGACCAGACTACGTCAAAGTTCTGTAAGAAATTATTCTAATGGAATTGGCTTGTAAAATACGTATTGATTGGCGAATGCACTGATCTTTGAAGCAGTTAAACGAGCATTAAAATTTTCATTGTGAAGTCATAATGGAGCTCCGCAAAAACACAATGCTCCGTGACGTATTTCATTTAACAAAAGTTCATCAAAATAAGTCGTAAACTACAAACAAAATGCTTAGATTGCATTAGAATGGGAATAACCGTCGCCGGTAAAACTCAGTTTGCGACCAATAAATCAGCATTAACGGTCGCAAATATCCAATTAGAAGATAGTTATGGGCCACATCGCTCACCTGAGAAGCTTTGATCAGTATGTTCTTTACCAGATTTCCCCCTTGTAATACATATTGTGACCCCACCTACCCCACGGATCATAATTTAGACAATTTGAAATCTTCACTACCCTAGGATGCTTCCACATGATTTCTGCTTTTCTGGCCCAGTGGTTCTTGAGAAGAAGATTTTCAAAGATTTTCCTATATATTTCTATGTAAAACTTTGATTCGCCATTGTGGCCCCACCCTACCCCCGGCGGTCATGATCTAAACAATTTATAATCTACACTACCCCAGGATGCTTCCACATAAGTTTCAGATTTTCTGCCCCAGTGGTTCTTGAGAAGAAGATTTTTAAAGTTTTTTCCCATATATTTCTATGTAAAACTTTGATTCCCCATTGTGGCCTTGCCCTACCCCCGGGGGTCATGATTTGAACAATTTAGAATTTACACCACCCCAAGATGCTTCCACATAAGTTTCTGCTTTTCTGGCCTAGTGGTTCTTGAGAAAAAGATTTTTAAAGATTTTTCCCATATATTTCTATGTAAAACTTTGATTCCCCATTGTGGCCCCGCCCAACCCCCTGGGGTCATGATTTGAACAATTTAGAATCTGCACTACCCTAGGATGTTTCCACATAAGTTTCAGCTTTTCTGGCCCAGTGGTTCTTGAGAAAAAGATTTTCAAAGATTTTTCCTATATATTTCTATGTAAATTTTTATTCCCCATTGTGGCCCCGCCCTACCCCCGGGGGTCATTATTTGAACAATTTAGAATCTACACTACCCCAGGATGCTTCCACATAAGTTTCAGCTTTTCTGGCCCAGTGGTTTTTGAGAAGATTTTTAAAGATTTTTCCTATATATTTCTATGTAAAAGTTTGATTCCCCATTGTGGCCCCGCCTAACCCCCGGGGGTCATGATTTGAACAATTTAGAATCTGCACTACCCTAGGATGCTTCCACATTAGTTTCAGCTTTTCTGGCCCAGTGGTTCTTGAGAAGATTTTTTATTGACCCCATCCTACTTTTGTCTTTTCTTGATTATCTCCCCTTGTGACCTTCATTTTAACAATTTATATTCCCCTTCACCCAATGATGCTTTGTACCAAGTTTGATCAAAACTGGCCCACAGGTTCTTGAGAAAAAGTCGAAAATGTGAAAAGTTTACAGACGGACGGACAGACAGACAGCTAGACAGACAGACGAACGCTGGACAAAATGTGATCAGAAAAGCTCACTTGAGCCTTCGGCTCAGGTGAGTTAAAAATCTTTAAATATCTTAAGAACTACTGGGTCAGAAAAAAATGAAACTTATGTGGAAGCATTCTTGAATGGTTTCGATTCTAAATTGATCAAATCAAGGCCCCTGGAGAAGGGATAAAGCGGGGTGATAAAATTGGAATCCAAGTTATACATTAAAATATATAGGAAAAAATTCTTTAAATCCTTGGCCAGAAAAGCTGTGGAAGCATCCTGGGGTAGTGTAGATTCTAAATTGTTCAAATAAGGATCCATGGGGGGAGAGCGATGGAAAATGTACATTAAAAAATATTTAGGAACAACAGATGTTTGTAAAACACTTATGTCCCCCTGCCCCAAATAATTAAAATTTTTGTAAGTCTAAGGGACATAACTCCATCCAAAACAGCTCCATACTAGTACCCAAAACAAAACTTGACTTAGATATTCTTTTTTATACCCCCCGCTTGAAAAGTGGGAGGGTATATAGTAATCGTTATGTTTGTCCGTCCGTCTGTTACACTTTGAGGTACCCATCTCTTATCCCCAACTCCTCTTATACTACTGAGTGAAATTTAATGAAACTTTCACAGAATCTTAATTACATATTGCCATTGTGCATCTCCTATTTTACTTTTTTATTCGACACGTATTTTAGGTTTCCTATAGCAAAACATGGACATTGCCATTATATTCTTACCTATGACGTCACATATGGCGGCTTCTGAATAGCATTTGATACTACGAGTTATTCCTCTTTACACATTACCGTAAAACAATATATAGCAAAACATGGACATTATGGGAGGCGGGGGTATCATTTAGTGAGCTCACTGCACACATTACCTCTAGTTTATGATAAATCTCTTTACCAAATTTCATTTCAATATGTGCAACCTCTGCAAAGAAAATGAACAGAAACTGATGGTGGCCCCGACAGACAGCAGCAAAGCAAATTGCCCTTCCTTCTTTGAAAAGGGGCATACAAATCTCTGAAAATCATCTTCTTTAAAATAACTTGGCCAGAACAGCTGAAACAAGCATCCTGTGTAGTATAGATTCTAAATGGTCCAAGTCACGACCCATTGTGGGAGGGGTCACAATAGGTATTACAAGGGGGGGGGGGATCTAGTTAAAAACAGCATGGCCAGTTACTAAGGTGAGTGATGTGGCCCACAGGCCTCTCGTTTCATTATCATTTTTAGCACACCTTCTAGCATCAGTCCAGTTAAGGAGGCCGGGGGTTTCAACAAATCAACCATCAGTTATATTCTTAAAGATATGATATCTTAAGCTGTTAACTAACGTTGGGAAAAGAAAATTTCATATATTTTTTTTATTTTAAAATTTGATCATTTTTGTATATCTTTATATGGAGCTCTTCTTCTAAAGGAGATCAAGACAGTCTATAAAAAATAACCACAACCACCTAGCTCTCTTAACAGTCAGTGATCGTTCTTTTTGCAACGGGGTCTGTTGAATTTGTTTGTTTGCATGTTGTTTAAAGACGCTCTAAACACTGCACACTAAAGAGCTCTATTTATAGGGTAGTTTTATGCAGTTAGAGTGATCTGCCCTTAGATGTAAGATTAAAGAAATTGTTATTTACACTTAACTACATGACTTGTAATAGATTAAAATATTCTTAGCATTATATGACCAAGAGTAAGAAATTTAACTAATTATTTTCATTAATTTTCCCAATGTAAGTAAACAACAGTGATTTCTGCTCACAAATAGTCCTGAATAGAATTACCGGTATGTATCATAGCATAGTCTACTTGTGTACCTAGTTATATTGAAATCAGACTTTATCTGTAGGAGGAGTAGCATTTTGAAAGTATTTCACAGAAATGTCTATATTTAGTAACCACGGCAACACCGTTCATCAAAATCAAAAACCGATGCAAAGAATTATGTATCTTAGTATAATCTACTTGTGTGCCAAATTATATTGAAATCGGACCAAAACTGTAGGACAAGTAGCATTTTGAAAGCATTTCACAGAAATTTCTATTTTTAATAACCACAGCAACATCGTTCATCGAAATCAAAATCCGATGCGCAGAATTATGTATCTTAGTGTAGTCTACTTGTGTGCCAAGTAATATTGAAATTGGACCAAAACTGTAGGAGGAGTAGCATTTTGAAAGCATTTCACAGAAATGTCTATTTTTAGTAACCATGGCAACACCGTTCATTGAAATCAAAAACCGATGCATAGAATTACGTATCTTAGTGTAGTCTACCTGTGTGCCAAGATATATTGAAATCAGACCAAAGCTGTAGAAAGAGTAGCATTTTGAAAGCATTTCACAGAAATTTCTATTTTTAAGAAACCACGGCAACACCGTTCATCGAAATCAAAAACCAATGCACAGAATTATGTATCTTAGTGTAGTCTACTTGTGTGCCAAGTTATATGTATATTGAAGTCAGACCAAATCTGTAAGAGGAGTAGCATTTTGAAAGCATTTTCCAGAAATTTCTATTTTTAGTAACCACGGCAACATCGTTCATTGAAATCAAAAACCGATGCATAGAATTATGTATCTTAGTATAGTCTACTTGTGTGCCAAATTATATTGAAATTGAATCAAAACTGTAGGAGGAGTAGCATTTTGAAAAATTGTTTACAGACAGACAGACAGACACACAGACGGACGGACGCATTACTATCGCATAAGCTCTTCTGGTCTCTGACCAGTAGAGCTAAAAATTGGATTAGGTCATTTAAAATCTTCTTCTCAAGAACCACTGGGTTTGAAAAGTTAAAATTTATGTTGAAATATCCTAGGGTAGGTGCTAAGTTCAAATCATAACCCTCGGGGGTAGGGTGGAGCCACAATAGGGAATCCAAGTTTTACATTAAAATATTTTCAGTTTTTCATTATGTAGTTTGTTTGGTATGCCAAGGCATCAATGATTGTTTGAAACATGGGATACTTTGCGTAACTGGCCAAGTTCCTGGCATACCCAACAAACTAGACAGTGATTGCTTATATTTACATTTCATTAAGAAATAAAATTGACAATTTAGAAGTAAAAATGTTGTTTAATAGATTTAAATGACAAAGGCCTCCCACGTCAATTTCAATAGTCCCCCCCCCCCTACAAATTGCAACTACAATTTTTCCTATATATTTTGATGTTAAATTAGAATTCCCTATTGTGGCCCCGCCCTACCCATGATTTTAACAATTTAGAATCTACACTACCCCAGGACACTTCCACATAAATTTCAGCTTTTCTAGCCCAGAAGGTCTTGAGAAGATTTTAAAAAGATTAT